GAGAGAGAGAGATAGAGAGAGAGAGAGAAACACAGAGGACCATTTTCATCCATTTCATTCTATCTATCTATCTATATATACATATATTTATATATGTTGAAATGTCAATGTATCTGACCGATAGGTTTGGTCGATATTGCACTCTAGCTAGGTCAGAGACGCATAGTGAACACTGCCGTTAGAGAGCGTCATCGAAAAAAAAGGGGCCGTCAGCATCTGTTATTGGCTGCCAGTCGTTGTTATTGGTGACTAACACACAGCGTTCGATATTAAAATATAACGAGCATCTCAGATGTTCATTTTGTGCTCTTTCATCTTCATGAATATACATTTATCAAACTTTCTCCAACTTCAGCCTTTTTCATATTATCTTTGCAGGTCGTTATGAACAACAATGGAATGGGTCTAGGTGATCAGCATGATGGTAACGAAATGAATCGACCTCAACGGGCTGAGGTTCAACCTATTCGTAGATCTAGACCCCCTAATAACTCCGTATTCGGAGGATTTTATCATCCACAGTATGGATTCATTCCTGCATTGAATGATATTCCTCCTGACCAGCAAGCTGCTGTTCTTGCCCATCTTCAAAACCTTTCACCAAATCAAGAATTTTTTAATCCACCAGTAGATTTTCAACATGAGATAATTGCGCCACCTTCCATCAACTACATTCCCCCAGCTTATTTCAACATTCAACAGGAGGTTCACCAACCCCCAGCTCTTCAGCCACCGTTTGGTTTAGTACACAACATCGAAGGGGGCTCTATGCGTGATTATAATCCAGCAGAAGGTAATAAATTTTCAATTTAACCATCAGTCTACTATTGACAGATGTCGGTCTACCTGAAAATGAACAAGTTCGCCGAACTTTGAGAGAAGAGGAACTGTATCGCTTAGTTCAAGAGGATGTAGATGCAGAACTTGCTCGCCTACAAGAGCGCGCGCCTCCTCGGGTGGAGGATATAGTTGAACGATTCAACTATGCAAATTCTTTACACATGCATGCAAATGCAATACCAATAGGTGAGTCTTTTCTTGATGTTTCAGCACAACAAAATAATATGATAGGAATCGACCGTAACCAAGCTATGGCTGCTCTTGAACAGAGCAGACGCATGGGTATTGACCCTTATATGCTTGCTGCCTTGAATGAGGAGCGTAATTTACCGCCTGGCGTAGTATTTGATATGGAACGGTCACCTCAACGACTTCTCAGGATTGCAGGATTACCACGAGTAGGCTCAGCAGATTCTGATTTGTTCTATTCCATGATGCGCCGATACCGTTGCGCTCTCATCGCTGATGAATTGAACGGCGTACCGTTCGGATTCAATAATCGTGATACGGCATCACCCAGCAGCGGTGATACATCTGGAAATTCATCTGTAAGAATTGTCACACCTCCACAAGAAGTCGGAATCTCAGACTCAGTATCGAGATCTCCATCCATCGCTTACCGCGCAAACAGTTTGTATAACGAAGATTTGAACAACTATGCTGAGGAATCGGCCGAGATCGACTATGAAGACAACGGAGAGAACTATGAAGAGGAGGAAGAATGCTCTGAGCATTCATTTTACTCTGACGAAGCTGAAGATAATGAAGAACCCATTGCTGAACAAGTCATGTTCCCTGACGGTTTAGACAATCCAGATCCTCCAACGTGCGAGAGTGAAGAAAGTATAGCTGAGTTTATAGCTGAGGATAATGCTGAAAATATGGGAGAGGTTCAGCCGCCTTGCTTCAACGTTGCTGTTCAAACTACTGATGAAGAAATGAATGAAGATGTTTCGGAAAACGTTACAAATAGCGTTGCAAACGACCATAACAACACTAACGACGGCAACGACGATATGGATGATAACGTTGACAACGCTGATAATGAAGATAACATCAGTAATGTTGATAACGTCAACAGCGTCAATAACGTTAGTAACGTTGATAACACCAACAGCGTCAGTAACGTTAGTAACGCCAACAAAATTTGCAACGCCAACAACATTTGTAATGCTACCAACGTTTGTAATGCCATCAACGTCTGTAACGCTAACAACGCCAGTAACGTTGATAACACCAGCAGCGTAAGTAACACTAGTAACGTCAACAACGTCAGTAACGTTGATAACACCAGCAGCGTATGTAACGCTAGTAACGCCAACAATGTCAGTAACGTTGATAACACCAGCCTCGTAAGTAACGATAGTAAAGCCAACAATGTCAGTAACGTTGATAACATCAGCAGCGTAAGTAACATTAGTAACGTCATCAATGTCAGTACCGTCAGTAACGTTGATAACACCAGCAGCGTAAGCAACGCTAGTAATGGCAGCAACGTCAGTAACGTTGATAACACCAGCAGCGTAAGCAACGCTAGTAATGGCAACAACGTCAGTAACGTTGATAACACCAACAGCGTAGGTAACGCTAGTAACTCCAACAACGTCAGTAACATTAGTAAAGTCAACAACGTCAATAACGTTGATAACACCAACAACGTCAGTAACGTTGTGAACACCAACAACGTCAGTAACGTTAGTAACGCTAACGACGTCAGTAACGTTGATATCGATGTTGACGATATCAGCGATGACTTGCCGAACATTGCAGCCGATGAAGAAGCTGAGGTTGATGCTCCTGCTGAAACATCTCCAGTTGTCCGCAAATACCCACCGAGGAATCGAATCTACAAACCATCTTTCATAGACATGGTTATAATTGCCATAAATGCATCGAAAGGAAAGAAAGCGTCTAAACCAGCTATTCTTAGTTATATTATAGAGAACTATAAGTTCCAAATAAACAAAAGAAAGGTAAGTGTTTTCAGATTTAGTATGTAAACTATCTGGTATTTATAGATCAACACCAGAGTATCATCAGCCATTAGAGATTTGCTCGATTGCAATCGTATCAAGAGAACTGGAAAAGGGGGTAAAGGCCTCAATGGCTCATTTTTCGTAGTTGGAAATTTCATGACTAGAGAAAAGAAAAAGAAACCAGAACCCTCAAATGTAATTGTTCATACATTAAAGAAATTTCAATATTGCTGTTATAGAATGAGTCTGCTGCCTCCAGTTCGACTCCAGCTGTTCAACAGACATCTGATCCGGCACCTATTAAATTTTGGGGTTTATTCGAGGATCGGTTTCCTCTACTTCATGTTAATCCGATGTCAAGCCTCCCTCTACCTAAACCAGTGCATCCCGCTTATGTGCACATGATCAAGAAAGCGATCAAAGTTCTGGATCAAGGTGGTGGAGGAGTGGAACTCATTAATATTGTAAACTTCATTCTACGCAATTATGACTTTACAAATCCAGAAGACGTATGGTACCCTGGTTGTGATTTGTCACATTTTAGTTTCAGGTGGAAAAAGTTGTCACTAAAGCTTGTAGGCGTTTAGTGAATAATGGCCAATTGACTACTTATGAGAACCGCTATGTGACAGTTAGAAAGACGAGGGTTAATAAGGATCTGGTGAGTGAATCCCTCTTGAAGTAGCTCTCAGTTTTCGTAATTTAGAAAGCAAGAGTGGATAAGCGTTTCGTCAAAAGGAAAGAAGCCAAGCCCGCTAATGATGATTCAACACAGCCCAGCATAATTTCTCCTTAAATGTCTTTTGAAGACGTTATATGTCTTAATTCTATTTATTTCATTTGTGCTCTTCAGCCCATTAATCTTATGGATTCAATTCGTTTTATGTATTCTTTTCTTTATTTTCTTTGTTGTCCTTACAACCTAATATAGTTTTGCTAGCCTTGTATATACCATATACATATGAAACCATTATCATAATGATAGGATCATTCACGTACAGTTACGTACATATAATACAGAAGCTTTTTTTCTTCTCTCAAATATTTTTTTTTCTGTTTTGCTATCTATCCATCTATCGATCTATCTCCGTCTGTCTCTATCTTATGAATTGAATGA